ATCATCTCCAACGAAAACAATATGTTACCTTTGAGTCGGGAGTCGGGAGTCGAGAGCCAAGGAGCGGGGGATGTAGGGTAGCGAGAGCCGAGGAGCAGAGAAATCGTGGGTGGCGAGAGTCGAAGAGAAGGTAATTGTTGTGGCGAGATGCGAGATGTTGTGAGAAGCAGGTTGGTTGAGAGATGATGAATTGAGTTCAAAACTGTTCGGATTTTCGTTTTTCTTGTTTTGGTGTTAGTCTATATTTTAGGTTGCTGTGGGGTTTTTTCATGTGTTTTTTTTGGAGGTTCAATGGAGTTTTTTTTAGATGCTACATCCTGGTAAGTTGTAAACTCAGTGGGATGTTATTTTGGTTGTTCTGTACTCTTTTGGCTGTTTGTTAATAATATTTGGGGTTTTTGAATCGACTATAGTATAATTGACTTCGATTATATTAGTTTCACTTTGATTATACCATATTTGACCCTATTATACTAGATCTGACGCGATTATAGTATAATTGACTTCGATTATATATATTTGACTATGATTATGCTAGAATTGACTTCGATTATACTAGTTTTGACTCGATTATAGTATCATTGAATTCGAATATAAAGATTTGACTATAATCTGCAATCATAAGTTGTTGACTTTTATGGAAAAATATGAAATTCTTAACTCTTCTAAACTGATACTATCTAATCCAATGTGTAGGTATATTGATTAAATTATGAACAATCGCAATCACATAGATGTAAATTGGTTGTTCTATTCGAATTGATTTAACTATATTTTCCCATTATTTTTCTATTAGATCTTTTAATTCTTTTATTATCTTTTTTATTTTGTCTAATTTTCTGAATGTTTCAAATTGAGTCTTTTTATTATTTCTATACGTGTTCATGTTTGTTGACATTTTTGGTGGACTGTTCATAATTTTTATCTTTTTATTTTTTCTTATATGCCCATAATAGCATTTTCGTATATTGTTATTTTATGCAATTGTTACCCGACATGAAACTTTTATATGCCAAAGACACTATTCCAACGATATGAAATAGAGAACACTACTCATGAGCTTGAATTGCTATAAAATAAAATGTTAACCCGACATGAAACTAAGACGACCCAAAAATAAGTACAAACACGCATTGTCATTTTGAAGATAAAAGTACCAACACCGTAGATGAAACAAATGGTTAAACAATTCTAATAAGTTACAATGACTTTGATCCAATGTTCACAGCAAAACTCCAAACACAAACATAAGCAAAATAGTCAAATACAACGACACATCGTAGTCCATATTAAACGTAGTATTAGATCCTAACAAAAGTAGTTCAAATCATCCATTGCACCAGTCATTTCATAATAACTCTGAAAGTTATCAAATCTTTGGGGATGAGCCTGAATATGGCCACAGATCCTTCTTCAAGTCCATTGTTGTCCACAAAGGCTCTCATTGTGCCATGTTGCATAAGCTTTTTCCCATGTCCATGAATAATGTTAGCCTCATATCTGGCACCAGAAATAAGTATGATGACTTTATTGTTGTTATTGTAATTCCCTTCGATATGAGTCCTCCAGAAATCCATTGGGATTGGCTGAATAAGAAAAACAACTTGCTCTTTAAAAATAAATTATACACTGTATGTGGATAATAATCTGAGCTTGTATTAATGCTTACCAGTCGTGCGCGTTCAATGTGAGAGCGTGCAATATCCAATTTAAAGAGGTATTGAGGTTCCCTTGCACGGGCCGTCTCAGTATGAATCCAAACATGAAATTCGAATAAGCTTTTGCGGTCGAAAACCAACATGTACCCACTGCGGATATCTTCGAACCTAACAAAATCAACCCATCCCTCCGCCAAGAATATGTAATCACCTATCTGACTCATTGTTACATGATAGGTATGTCCTTCAACAGTTTTTAGAATGCAACGATGCAGTACAAAACGTTGGTATTCACTTTGCAACAGGGGGGATTCGCTTAAAAAAATAGAAGAAAAACATTGTTTCGTCAGGTTTGTGTATTACTCGTTGATAAATGTAAGAGTGTATTATGATAATTTGTATTAAAAAAAATGCGCTCACCAGGTAGGGTTGTTGTGCATCAAACATAATTTTAACGAATTTTGATAGTCGGCCAGTCATGGGATTGTACCTATGCATAATTCAACAAACTGTAAATTCTTAAAAGAATTCTTCAAAAGATAGATTAAACTAATATAGGTTTACAATATGACCAACTGGTTAAACACCAACAAACCTGAAAATGCAACAATACATCACAGTCTACAGCTACTCGGGTGAAACATGAGACTGTTCACCCTCTAAAGCCATCAATATGGATGATCATAACCAGGACAAGAAGAACAAGAAGAAGCTAAAAAGATACATCATCAAATCAAGATACAAGTTGAAACAACATCTCCAACATAGCAACTGCAAAAGGTCTAACTCATACTCAAAAAAGAGATTCAAGTCAAAATCAGCAAGACTTATTCGGCTTTTTCCATCAGAAATTTGAAGAATTATAATTCAACATAAGAGAGTAATGAATTCATAATAATGCTCATTACCCACAGACATTTCGAAATTAAATCTTGAATTAAAACATCCAACACAAACATTCATCCACAAATGAATAATACCAAAAAAAAAAAAAATTGATATTGAAGAACCCTAGCCAGATTTGTCAAGTTCCCAAAATATAATATCTAAACACGAAAAAAGAAATCGAGGTTCTACCATATAACAATAACATGCAAACCTAGATTTAAAATTGAACGAGTAACCTATACGAATCAAGAGGATTGCTCGTTGCCTTGGAAAACTTACGAATTCACAAACAAAAACTTTCCCAATTACCTTTAAATGACTTCAGAAAAAAAAAAAAAAAAAAAAAAAAAAAAATAGATGGACAAATTGAAACTATCAAGTACCTGATTGAGTAAAATTACAAATTATATTTGCTGCTCTTTTTATACGCGCAACAGATGAGGAGCAAGGCGGACTGATAGAAGAAAAGAGGCGGACTGTTCGAAGAAAAAAGAAAAGATACGGCGGACTGATCGAAGAAAAGAGGCGGACCTCTTTACTCTTTTCTAT